CCTAATGTCCAACTTAAACCTCCCTTGCTGCAGTTTAAGCCCATTGTTTCTTGTTCTATCCTCAGAGGCCAAGATGAACAAGTTTTCTCCCTCCTCCTTATGACACCCTTTTAGAAACCAGAAAACGGCTCTCATGTCCCCCCTCAGTCTTCTCTTTTCTAAACTAAACCATCCCAATTCTTTCAGCCTTCCTTCATAGCTCATGTTCTCTAGACCTTTAATCATTCTTGTTGCTCTTCTCTGGACCCTCTCCAATTTCTCCACATCCTTCTTGAAATGCGGTGCCCAGAACTGGACACAATACTCCAACTGAGGCCTAACTAGCGCAGAGTAGAGCAGAAGAATGACTTCTCGTGTCTTGCTCAGAACACACCTGTTAATGCATCCTGGAATCATGTTTGCTTTTTTTGCAACAGCATCACGCTGCTGACTCATATTCAGCTTGTGGTCCACTATAACCCCTAGATCCCTTTCTGCTGTACTCCTTCCTAGACAGTCGCTTCCCGTTCTGTATGTGTGAAATGGATTGTTCCTTCCTAAGTGGAGCACTTTGCATTTGTCTTTATTAAACTTCATCCTGTTTACCTCAGGCCATTTCTCCAGTTTGTCCAGATCATTTTGAATTATGACCCTATCCTCCAGATAAGTTTGCAGATGATACCAAGCTGGGAGGGGTTGCGACTAAATAGGCATACTTTCTATGCCAATATCTCAATCGTTGACGAAGATATTGAGCAGAGCCAGTCCCAAAACAGGTCCTTCGAGTCCATACTAAGCAGTTTGTTGTAGATGCTGCAGGTTTATATGGCAGCACCAGATTTAACCTCCTTTGCCTTCTCAGATGCCTGCCAAAGTTCATTTGCTTTTATGTGGCACCGCTGCTCATACCTGTCATGTCCCAGTTCCAGAATCTTGTGTGCAATCTGAATGTAGATGTTTATGTTTCATTGGCTGATCTTGAGCTGGGTTTGTGTAGTCTCTTCTCTGAACAGCTTGAAGAGAATTCTTTCCTGGTCCAAGTAGAAGCATTTCTGTGGGTGGAGCTGACATAGTCAGATGCTCACCGAATGCGCTTGTCAACATGGAAGATTAGGAAAAAGCAATACAGAAACATCTAGGAGGCTTAAGGTGGGCACAGGCTTCTGGTTTGTGTGATCCTTGGCAATTAGAGTGATCCTTGGCAACCAGAGCAATCACAGTTGAAGATAGGGGCATTCATTGTGGAACAACGTCTGGAAGACTATAAGGCTATGTCTCGACTACGTAGAATTTTCAAAAGAGGATATGCAAATTCCACAGGATTTTGCATATCTTCTGATCTCACTTTTGAAAGATCCTCTTTCAAAAGTGAGAGTAGTCTGGACACTTTTTTTGGAAAATATGCCCTTTTTTGAAAAAAAAACCCTGCTCTTCCTTAAAAAAATGGGGTTTATGCGTTTTTTTCAAAAAAGGGTTTTTTTCCTGAAAAAAAAAAGGGTTCAGACTACTTTCACTTTCAAAAGATCCTCTTTTAAGATTCCCATGGAATTTGCATATCCTCTTTCAAAAAAAACATAGTTTAGACATACTAGAGTCAATACACCTAATGCAATGTCTACACTTGCATTGCATTGACTTGAGTAGGTCAGTCAAACTGCTGTGTCATTTAGGGAGATGGATTTATTGTGTCTCTGTAACAAAGTCTTTAGGACGACGGGAGACATACTTGGATGTAGACCCATGCACAACTAGGTCAACATAAGTTGATTTAGATATCCTAATTTTGTAGCATAGATCAGGCCCCAGAGAGTCAGTGCTGAGAGTTTTCAGTTCCTGGACAGCAGAAGAGTTCTGGTCATTCATGAAGTTTGCAGCCCCAGAAGAGCCAGACCATGAGGAGAAAGAGCTACATACAGCTTGCCCTCATGTAACCCTCACCCTGCAGGCAGATTCCTAGAGCACTTGATCTTCTGGGCTGTTGTCACAACATTGCCTCTGCAAAATCCAAAACTGAAATATTCAAGTTCATGTTTGATTCAGCAGATCTGAATATTTATAGAACAGTTTGTCCAGACCTGCTAATTGGGACTGTATCTGTAAGTTCTATCAAAATGAAACATTAAAAATTGTGCAGCTTTCAGAGATCACCACCGCACGAAAGGTATGTTTATGTCAAGCATTTAAGCATCAGTGGAAGCTTATGTGAATTAGATCAAAGATTATTTTGATGAAATTATATTAAACCAGGTTTTTACTATTCAAGTTCAGAATAAGAAAACCCTGAAAGGACATGGGTATGGAAAGTTATCTCTATAGACTACAGGGTGTCCCTACTATAAGTTGCTCCAGTATACATCCACACTAAAATTATTGATGCTTATAGGAACTGATGCAGTGTAAGTCCTCCCATTCCCTGCTCTTAAGCCGCGCAAGATCTCCCCCACCCCCAATTTGCACAAATGGAAGTTAGCCATGGGGAGGGGGGGAAGCCCACGTTAAGTTGTTTCACTATAAATCCAAGTTTTTTGGAACATATCTTGGACTTATGGCAAAGATGACCTGTATTGTGAATGGAACACTGACACACATCAGTCGACAGCAGGGTCATAAATCTAATTATGTACATGAAGTTGAAAGTATTAAAGAACTTAAAAGTACTCTCTTGTTACAGCTCCAAAAATTGGACTAAATTTTGCATTCAAATACAATCCCAAAAACTTTTGTCTCTTTGAGTTACACAAGTTTCCTTTTGTGTGGGTAACACACAGTGGTGTTGAAGAACAATTAGTCCATCCATGTCTTTATGGGCAATTTGATCAGATTTGGAAAGGAATCTAAACATTGTAGGAAAACTGATGTTTGTATAAACGATACTGCTGAGTTGGGCATCAAAATTACACAAAGAACGTACATTCAAATTTTAGAGATTTTTGAAGGAGAATATCTGAGAGTGATGTAGAAAATGGCATGTTCACTAGTAGGTCTTTTCTAAAAACAAAGCATAATCTTATTATTGCTTCAACCTAATAACTGGTTGCCACTGTCTCTTATTTTAATTTTTGTCTGTTGGTGTTTACTCCCTATTTTAACTCTTGTTAGTTTTCTGTGGATTTTTCCTCATTTCTTTTTAACTTTTGGCTCTTAATTTTTGTTTGTTTTTATGCCTATGGATTCCTATGTTCTGAGTGGACTGAATTTCTTATGTGACTGTTACACATTCTAATTGACTTTCACATTATTACTCCTCACTCATAGATACAGTCACATCAAATTCACATGGGATACGTTTAGAATGAATCAGAAAACAAATATTTTAATCTCCCCATTTTTTCCAAGAGGATTTTGACAGATTGAATCATTCTGAAAGTGTATACATACTTATCTGCATGTGCAAAGACATGCATACTACAATTTCAAATGAAATGTACATTTCTGTGTCTTCATACCAGCTTCAAACCTCTAATGCCAAGGAATTCTGCGTATTAATGTAGACTTGAAGGCCTGAGGCCTCTCCTCCTCCCCACTCCTGAAAAAAAATTGGCCTTAGGGTTCTTATTCAGAATCCTTACACTTTGACAAATTACTGAAGTTCTTAGAGTTATACAACAGTATAAAACAAATATAAATAAACTCATAATCAAGCTTTAAGTCTCTGGTAGAAGTGGATACTATCGTCAGATTGCTATATTCATACATATTCTGCTATGAAAAATTATTAAAAACAAGTAAAACAAAAGTATGCTAACTGATTTGAGAGGAAGGATTTATACAGAACTGCTGAAATGCGCTGATATAGGAAATACTCTATTTACATAATTCACGTGTCAATTTGTTTGTTATATTTATGACAGTTTCTCTTTGCTTTTTCAAAGCAGCCTCTTTTTGTTTTCTTTAAAACAATGTTTCATGTCACTGCAAGTTTTGAGAAAACCATTCTTTCAAATTTCACAGCTGACTAGTTAGTTCTGTCATGTTATGTTGGATCATGTCAGTCCTATTATGTTATATAATAGGACATGACTGATGCTTTTGGACATGATGCGTCAACTGGAATTGTTTTAAGTCTCAACCTTTTTTCAAACCAAGAAAAGAATAAACAGCAATTTTCACGGTGCTGGCAAAATACTGGTAAAAAATCCAGTTATACCAATTTAAAACTGATTTATATTGGCATGGCCCATTCTACTTCCTGGACTATAATATGCTTTACCAGTACAACTCCAATCACAATACTAAGACCTCAAGAAGAGCTCTGTGTAGCTCAACAGCTTGTCTCTTTCGCCAATGGAAGTTGATCCAATAAAATATATCACTACAGCCAACTTGTGTCTCTACAGATACACTAGTCCGCCTTCTTTAATTAAAGCAGCAAAATTTTCTGGCATGAATAAACCCTAAATCTGTCCCATACTTC